TGACGATGAGCATCCGGGCCACCGTCTACCCGGCGACTCTGATCCGCACCCTGCTGCAGGTGCAGAGAGGCACGTCACTGTATACCGGCACCTTTGACGCGTTCTTCAAGATTCTGCGGGCTGAAGGTGTTCGAGGCCTTTATCGTGGCTTCATGGTCAACACCCTCACACTGATCTCAGGCCAGGCTTACATCACCACCTATGAGCTGGTGAGGAAGTATGTCTCCCAGTATTCTGATGACAATACGTTCAAGTCCCTGGTGGCGGGCGGCTCAGCCTCTCTGGTGGCTCAGAGCATTACTGTTCCTATAGATGTGGTCTCTCAGCAGCTGATGATGCAGGGCCAAGGGGAGCACCTCACCCGCTTTCGTCTCAATGCTGACAGTAAGAACTCAAAACAAATGTTCGGCCAAACCAGGACCATCATGTCTCAGATTTTTGCTGCTGATGGTTTCCGGGGCTTCTACAGGGGATATGTGGCATCTCTGCTCACCTATATCCCAAACAGTGCTGTCTGGTGGCCTTTTTATCATTTTTATGCTGGTAAGTGGCTGAAAAAATGTTTTCTCAACTATCATGCACAAAAAAGCTCTGTGCTAAGTGCACTTTCTCTAAATACTTGGTATGTCGTTTATGAGTACCGGTATGTCCTCGGTGAATGTGTACGACTGCAGTTATAATGAATACAACAGTTCTTGCCTTGTTGTCAATCAAATATCTGTTTGTGTAATGTTTAACAGAGCAGCTCTCTAAACTGGCTCCCAGTGACTGCCCTCATCTGATTCTACAAGCCATGGCCGGACCTCTGGCTGCCGCTACTGCCTCAACTGTCACCAACCCAATGGATGTGGTCAGAGCCAGAGTGCAGGTACATTTCCTTTACTGTGGATCCATCAGACAGTTTGACCCTGCTATGTTGAATAACCGATTCACGGAACACAAAATCCAGATTCTAATGTTTGAGATATGCCAATAGTTAAGCCATAAATGGCATGTTTGGCTACACAAATCTGAATGAATCGATGTAATTGAATGTACAACACCCAGTCCTAGGCAATAACGGTTTGTGGTTACAAATAACACATGTTTTTTAGGTTGAAGGGAGATCTTCTGTCATCGAGACGTTCAATCAGCTGATCAAAGAGGAGGGCTGTTGGGGGCTGACCAAAGGACTCTCAGCACGCATCATCTCGTCCACGCCCACTGCCATCGTCATGGTGGTCGGCTACGAGACGCTGAAAAAAATGAGTTTGCGACCGGAGCTGGTGGACTCGAGACACTGGTAGAAGAAATCTGCACTGATGACATATGGACCACGTGCCATTTTAGCCCTAATGAGACCTCATATAAAAACTCTGGATTTTTTTAGAGAACAACCTGGGGTACAAAATGAAATCAGGCCACTTCTGAATCACAGTACCGGTGTGTCGGACATTAATTATGTGATCATTCAAACATATTACTTGTAGATTCAAAACCTTTCGGCCATTAATATTCACACCAGATCCAGGTTCAGTTTGTATTGCTGCATAACATGGCTGGTGCTATTTAATGTACTTTAAAGGGGTGAATAACATGTTGCTTTTACACTGGAAGATGCAGACACATTTATCCAACTTTTAGACAATGGATTTTACACGCTTTACAATCATGTTCAAGCTTCTTTGCGGTGGAGGAAAGTGAAAGTGATAACATGTTTTTATCTTTGATAGTTTGTGCGACAGATTGCTGTTGGGTATGCATACAAATAAGAGACTGGTTTTGATCAGGCTTCAGAGAAAGGTCATTTAATGTATGATGACGCATTCACGTCAGAAGTAAACAGGTTTTCAAAGTGCTTGTTTTCCTCCACTTTGTCACTGGCATCTAAGTATATTTAATTACATTTTGCCTTTTAAAAAAAGATTTGCCTTCATAGTAGATGCAAGATGCAAAATCTGCTTTTTGTTTTTGCTGAATGTGCGAGAAGAAGAGTAGAGTTACAATCTGTGTGTCATGGTGCATTTAATTTACTGTTGTTTTGTACGCTACACAAACTGAGTCCAAGCAAGTGATTTGACAAATTCCACGCAAAACAGAAAAAATACATGAGTACAATATTTGATCAGCCTTTTTGTAACATACTAATATGCTGGCTGTTTGATATTGCAATGATCGCGCTGGTCAATAAATTATTTTGTGTACTGGTAGCTTCCAGGAATTGGAGAATGATTGAAGTTGTTTTGTGCAATATTCTAAATGTGATAGTGTATTACTTGTACATTGTGTGAATAATGTGATAAAGGAATGCATTATACCTTATTTATTTTCATTATGTATTTGGCGTTTATAACCACAGAAGTGTTCAACTTTCAAATGACCCATTATGTTTAAGCGCTTACATTATGTCAGTTATTTTCATCACGGACAAAGCTGAAGGGGGCGGTGTTAGTTTGATTGAAGGCAAATTCCTTTACCTGCGTTTGTTTAAAATGAAGCCCTGAACATCCTGTAATGTTTTCTGAAGTTATATATAAATCTGCTCCTAGGCCATGTCAAGATGCAACACCCAATGAACTCTAACTCTAAAGTCGGCAAACCTTGTTTGGAAAAGAGAATCCTCTTTAATCATTTTGACTAAAGTCTGGAATTTATTTCTGTAATTCAAAGTGTGATTTCTGAGATTAACCTCCTGTTAACTGTCTTGTAAAGATTTCACATTGCTTGTCATCCCACCATGTCGTGGTTCATCTATTTGGTTGATTAAAGTCACTGATTATTTACACATGTTCAAACAAAGCTAATGAACATTTGCTGCTTTTTCAAATTCGTATTTTTGACTGTATTGTTCGTTTTGTTGCCCTCAGGGAGTTCTTTTTTGCATTTAAGAAGCTCTGGGAGAAAAAATGGGAGCAGGTGAGTGATGCGTTTCCTTGATGTTCTCATAACTGTGGGGCGTCCATAAGTCTTATTGAAGGTGACACTGACACCAAAGGTCATCGGTCATGTTGTGTAATGAGGTGAAAGAATCCACTGAGGCTGATTTTGCTGTAAGGATGAGCAACATTTAGTATTAGTACCATTCTTCAAGCAATTTAAACATTTGATGATCAATACAATTTAAGGATGCTGGTGCTTGTAATATTATATAATTTTTCTTAAACATTTACAAAATCGACTCAGTATTTTTAAAAAGTTATATTTTTAGTTTGTCATTGCAAAGATTTTCTTAATTTTTCAAAAATGGTGGTGAATAAAACATACAACATATAAATCTATTAATTAAGTGGAGAAATGACTGCAGAATAAACACATATAACCTATGACATATGGTGATACATTTAAAGGAAGATTTCATAACCAACATTCATATTTAACATCCTAGTTTCTGGATGGCAGCAGAAAAGAAACATGCCCCTACATTTAAAGATGCTTGCACCAAATCTCCTGATGAATGAAACAAACAGGCTGACGGATCATGGTGGGATGACGGAGTGCTCCCTGCTCTGCATTCATTATCAGCCAGTGTCTGGAAGGCACTTTGTCAGAAAGATGGATGAGGGGCTGTCAGAGAGGAAACAAATCTGAGCTGGTCGGGGTTAGAGGAAGGGCCTCTCATCCTCAAGGGATGTGACGGTGGTAGGTAGGGGTGTGTGTGTGTGTGTGTGTGTGTGTGTGTGTGTGTGTGTGTGTGTGTGTGTGTGGTGTGTGTGTGTGTGTGTGTGTGTGTGTGTGTGTGTGTGTGTGTGTGTGTGTGTGTGTGTGTGTGTGTGTGTGTGTGTGTGTGTGTGTGTGTGTGTGTGTGTGTGTGTGTGTGTGTGTGTGTGTGTGTGTGTGTGTGTGTGTGTGTGTGTGTGTGTGTGTGTGTGTGTGTGTCATAATAGGTGGGATAGAGTGTAGGAAATATAGAGTGTTTTGAAAAGCAGCAAAGGACAAAGACGTTTTAGAAAGGTGATTGAATTATCTATGTTGATGCCTTTAAATATCAACTATAGAACATTAATCCAGCCTCCTCATTTCAAAAGTATTATAAAATATGTCTTCACTTTTTGTCTTCACTCCTGATTTCATAAGCAAATAAATGGAAGATAAAATCCATTTGCTTCATGCTAAATGTATTTTCCAGTAACAAAAGGCTTCTGCAGTCAATCTGAGTTACACAAATCAACTATCTTCTCTTCAACTTTGTAAAAAAAGACCATAACTTTAGAAAATGCCAAAATGAATCTAACTCAGACTGTTTAACTTCGGCAGAACTATAAACACATTTTAATCATGATTACATTGAAATCACGTTAGCAATGGATCTCTTCAAGTGAAGTGACCAAAAACTGTGTTAATGTACAAAAGACAAACAAGTATTTTTTAAGATGTACTTTATGAACAATATGAACTTATCCTTTCAGTATCAGTGTTTCTACAACAGCTGAATACATGACTGCACAACAAAACCTTTGTTGAAATCGTTGATCTTTTATTGCTTTACATTAAGGGTAGATCCACCTAACATTACAGTAATACATATATTTGAACAACAAACAAACTAAAACTGTACTGCATTTTTTTGTGATTTCCTCCTCCCAGTGGGGGTGAATGGAATTGGTATCAAATTTAAACTACTTTGAAATTAAATTAACCCAATGTAGGTGCAATATATTTTCTCCACCACACTACACATTTTGTATTAAAGGAAGAGAGAATATCATCCTTTTTGGTGGATAAATACCTACATAAAAGGCAAAGTAGGAACATTTGTATAAAAACAAATCTTAGTTAAATAAATATTTGTGTAAATACTCTCTTAAATTCCACTAAATCTCAGTCCAATCAGATTAAGAGACATCAAGAACATTCAACTGAACCATCATTTGTGCACAATTATTCTATTCTCTAATGAGAATAAACCATTTACAATGTGTGTAATGGGTGTGTGGGAGAGGAGACTAAGGTGGAGGGGGAATGAGGTCTGCTGTGTGGGATCATTGCACACAGGGAGGAGAGGGAGGGAGAGAAAGAAAGAGCCTGAAGAGAAAGGGAGCGGAGGAGACAGACGACAGGAGACGAAAGGCTGAGACACATCCAGAACCCCACAAGAAAAAATGCCCAATTTTGCAGGCACCTGGAAAATGAAAAGCAGCGAGAATTTCGAAGATTTGCTCAAAGCTCTGGGTGAGGATAATTTTCTCTTTTTCTATGAATGTTTGATTGCATTTTAGTTTTAGGTTTCTGAAATGATGTATTGACTGAACAGGAAGGAGGTCTGTGCGATAGATGTAGATATCGTACTTGGAATACAGACTGCAATCAAGGTTCATTTTGAAATGCATGCAGAGATGAAGTTAAGTGAATAGATTTTTGATTTTCTATTGTTAAAAAACAGAAGAAGAAAAAAAATTCAAACTTGAGGTACAGATTGGAGATTACACTTTTTGTAAGCATCTTAACAAAATAACTGATTGATCAAAAAAAGGTACAATTAAAGATGATCTTTTTCCCACCACGGTCCAACAATCCAATGTCTAAATACCTCATTTCAGCTCGATCATAGGCAGGTTAGGCTGCTGTTTAAATTGCTTTTAGATGTATGGTTGCAAAAGACCACATTTACCACCGGCACTGCTTGTTCCAAAGTGGAGGACAACTGGTTTTAATTACAGGAGGAGAGAACATGAACTCCAAGGAGGATGGATGGGAAACAGACGGAAGCGTTATCTCATCTGATTGTTTTCACTGTAATGTGTGACGGGAAGGGTTAATAGCTTTCCCGCTGTTTGGAGGACAGAATCTATCATGAGGTACAGGAGAGACAAACAAAGCAGCATTCCTCCCCCTCATCACCTTGTCACTGCAGCCTCCATATTTGCAACATCTGCTGATAACAATCTCAAGACCCTTTTTTAAAATATGAAAACCCACTGCCTTATACTGTGAAATCTTCTCCTGACTAATATAGGGTTAGTTTGAACTCAGATTGATGACTATCTGTATGCATTCCTTTGGTAAATAGGCCGAGTTTCACATCTGTAACATTAACGCAGATCTTTTTCTCCCCATGTCTTTGGTGCCAGAGGCAGACAGAAAATGTGACGTGACACAACTCAATATCAAGTGATAAAATACGGACAAAGTAGTTCTTAGTGGTTAAAGGTGGGATCAAAGTGGTTTTGTACGTCAGGGTCTTATCCTCCACAGACTGATCAGCGCTGTGTAGTATTCACACTAGCTCTGTGTGTGTTCTCAGGAGTGAACGCAATGCTGAGGAAGGTGGCGGTGGCGGCTGCGTCCAAGCCCCATGTGGAGATAAGGCAGAACGATGAGCACTTCTACATCAAGACCTCCACCACCGTCCGCACCACGGAGATCAACTTCCTCATGGGAGAGGAGTTTAATGAGGAGACGTTGGACGGCAGAAAGTGTAAGGTAATCTGATTAATCAGTACATGATTAACTTTCTATCAATGTACATGTCTCCTCCTCTTAAATGACTGTGTAGCTTTTTGTTTTAAGTATTGGGGTTTCCCACTGGATCACAAAACCTCACTCTGGAATGTTCTCAAAAAAAAATCTTAATATTTAACTTCGCTATCAGAGGGATAATTTAACTTTGACCAAAAAAAAGAATTAACCAACGACACGCAAGTCGGTGAAAGTTAAAAAGGACATCTTATGAAATGTGGAGACTTGTAGGAGACAGATTTTTAAAAGAATGGTGGAAATAAAACAGAAGAGGATGAGAGAGCCTGACTTGTATCCTTAATATGAGCACCAAAAAAAAGCAAATGTGGTGTTGTATTCCTTGTGATAAGTAACCAGAACTTTATGAGTGCAATTGGTTTTATTAGTGTACCCTTAAGCATTATATTAGGCTAAAATGTAGGGCTGCAAGGAACAAGCTAAAAATGAACCAGATACATCTGAAAAGTATTATTATTCAGGGTAAAACATGCAAAAAGTATCCCTGAAGACTGACTAGTGATTAACACACAGTCTGTAAATCGGCTAAGATTGAGGAAATAAATATAGGAAACCTCATGAAAGTGCGGCTTTTTCTACAGAGCTTGGCCACTTGGGAAACAGAAAACAAGATGTACTGCAAACAGACTCTACTGAGCGGGAACGGCCCGAAGACCTTCTGGACCCGAGAACTCAATGGGGATGAACTCATACTGGTGAGCAGTTCTATTTATTTTAATTTACTATAAGTGAAATATGGGTGAGAAGTAAGAGAGTGCTACATGCAGATGTTGACTCAAATTAATCAAGTGTATAAAGCATTTATGGGTCGACATGTGTCTTCATGATCAGCCCCTTTTCTCTAAAAAGCAAATAGTTCTCTCTGTGTTTTCTTTTATAAAGTTGCGGCTCCCAAATGCTCTCCTCCCATCAGCCTGGAGACGGATGTGGATTCAATGACTCCAATTTTCATAAAAAATCTCCCATCAGATAGATGAACAGATGTTTTGAAAGTGGGATGAGGTGTCAGGTTTGGTCGCTGTCTTTAAATACATGGCCATTTCCTGTTTCTACATCTCTGTCTGCCAATAAGAAATCAAGGGATTGCTTAAACAGACAGTCCTCAATTGTTTTTTTTTAAAAACACTGTTGCTTTGTAGCATATCCTTTTTGAATAGTTTCACATTTTGGCTTATTCAAAGTTTTTTGGGCCAAAGTTAAAGGAAAGGTTGATAACCTACCTCTCATATCTATACATCAAAAGGACAGCCAGAAGCTGGTTAGCCTAGCTTAGCATAAATACTTGGAACGTGGAACAAACATGGCCTCACAAATGAGATTTATTTTTTAATAAAGCAGCTTGAACTTAAGGAACTTGTAATAAACTTCAGGCGGATATAACACACAATCACAGCACAAGCAGAAACCAAAACTAGACAGATGGTCAAGACAGGCCATAACTGGGTGGTGACACCAGATGTGAAATGTGAAACAATCTGGTCAATAATTTACCCAAAAAACTACGTAGTTCCTGGGAAATGTTCTGAACTCCCATGGCCATTTTGAAACACCGTTTGTATTTCCTTCTTCTGCCAAATGAGGGTGTGAATAAACATGCCTGCATCTGTGAGGAAGCACATTATCATGATGCATTGTTTCTTACATTTCATTATTTGTTCACATCAAGGAAATATGAACTAAATATATCTATTTAAATTCATATTAAAAGAGGTTTTCTAACATGTAGACCATGTAGGCTGAGAGCAGGTGAAGTATTTGTTACAGCAAGGCAGATTCAGGGGATCCACGGAGAAACTTAGTCTAGATTTCAAAGGAACACACTAACATTTAACTGCCTCACGAATGATGTTGGACTGCACTCAGGGATATTGCACACATCAGAAACACGTCAGCCTGTAAATTCAAGATCACTAAGACAAAGAGGTTTAGTTCCTGTAAACATCTGGGTCTGCTTGGATTTATTGGCCAGCTGGTCAACAAAGTCCAGTTTGTCTGTGATGGACTCACCTCTGCAGAGAGGCACTCAGGAAAACACTTGAGGGGCTTTCATTTAGGCAGAAGGCAGGTTTCCAAACTGGGAACAAACGTTTTGAACCGCACCAAATCTGTTTTTATTTAAGATAAGGGTGTGGACGTCTGTCTGTCCATGTTGGAGTGATGGGATGTAATCTGATCGGCATGTGGGGTTGAATCATTGGGGAAAAAAGTTTCACAGGAAAAGAGAACAAGTTATAATACCACCGGTGTGGGAGAGGTCCGATATATATTCCCTGCTGGTTTGTAATTAAACTAAAATCCCTCATATTACACCCCAACTAATGCATTGTTTGGATTTTTAGATTTGAACGATGTTGAAGCAAAGATGTTTGGCTCTGAGGCGATCCAGACTGTGAACTATTTTTATATTGACGTCAGTAGATGTACACAACTAATTTATTAATAAAACTAAATAATGAGTATTAGTTTAACAGGCTCTGTAATATTCTGCAAACAAAGTTTTGGTTTTACTACACCTCAGCAACACAAGTTAAATATACTGCTGAATGCTGAGGGGGGGTGATGACAGATGAGTTACTTTGCACGCAGATACTTGCGTTTAAGTCAGAATATTGTTGCTGGGATCAGATCATAAATTACACAACACAAAATGATATTACATACTGCACCAAATTCAAGGTAATTTATGCTAACAGTTATTTAAATGTAGTCTTAGAAAGCCTACATGGTTTAGTCCTTTTGTATTCAGCCATATGTCAAAGAAGAAGACATGTAGGGAGATTAGGATGATTGTTTACCCAGTTCAATTAGACTTCATTGGTCATGTTGTCAGTATGAACATAGGCAACACAGAATTACTAAATAGTAAAACAGTGGCACATTGGCAACTGCAAAGTTTAAACTGCACTGGTTGGTTGGAGTAGTCCAAAACTTCAGTCAGAACATGAACTACAAATGTAACACTTGTTTCATTTCTCAACTATAATGATTGTAGACCCGTTTACATTATTATGAGATTTATTTTAGAGATATATATATATATATATATATATAATCTATTGGCAACTGTTGCTGCGTGGTAGTTTTGCTCGTTCATCAGGGAAATCAAATATCCCGTCTTCTTCCAACAAGATGTCCGTCTCCTCTCAGTGTACAGAGGCATGTGGCTCAGTATAGACAGATAAAAAGCACATTCAGTCTAATAAAAGCACTGTCCAGCAGATGAGAGCATGAGGGTCCCAGGGGGAGATGGATGAGGGGCCTAATGAAGACAACATGGCGCTGCTCACTGCACTCACTGTGATCGAAGAGGGGCACAAAGATCATTCGGCGAGTCTCCAGTAAAAAGTAGAATAAATACTTGTCCATGCGAGGAACCTCATATACTTTTTTTTATATGCATTTCAATCCAATAAATATCGATTTTTTAAAAGATTAATACAGCCGTGCACTGGCGACTTTATGATGGGACTGGAGCCAGATGAGATTGTGTGGCTGTGATTTAGTCGGGGGTCCAGATCTGTGTGTGTGTGTGTGTCCTCGAATGGGCTTTAATTGGTCTCATTGATCTTGCTCTTGAGAAATGCCAATGGACCCTGGTGTTACCTCCAGTTAATGTCTCCCTCGGCATCTCGCCACGTGCCAGATGGAGTCGCCTGGGCTTCATTTTTCACATCCTGCCCTGTTTCCCCGTGCCGCCACACAGCATGAGATAATGATAATGTGCGCAGTGCAGTTGGCCATAGTGCTTTGCCCCTGGGACTCCCATACATCTTTATCCTTGGACACATAAACCCCATGACCCGCAGCATGCAATGTTTTTCTCCCCATTCTCATATCAGCTTTTGTCCACCTGTTTCTTTAAGCAGACAGCTGATCCAAATTAAGATCACAATATGAGCAGGCATTTAGGTCATTATTGGCGAAAGAGCATCATATGAGTGCTTTAAAAATACATTTAGGGACTACAACACAATGAAAATTAAGCTTTTTATAATGTGGGGAAGAGGGACAATTACTTCAACTGCCATTTGTACAACTGAGAGACTTCAGGAAACCAGTAAAACTGTTTTCACAAGATGATGGTTATGTTGTTTTATATGCTTAGTGTCAATGCCTGAATGCTACAAACTATTGTACTGAAGAACAATTTTGACAGTTATATTTTCCAAATCAATGTAACATGCATAAATGATAAATGCAGTACTAATTTACCCAGTAGTAAACAAAGTATTAAAGAAAAAATACAATATTAAAAGGCTCTTACATTATTGGTAAATGTAAATTATAAATGTAAGATTCTGTGTGTACAGTGTTGACATATACAGTAAGAATTTAATTACTTGATATTTAAGTAATTTTTGCAATTACCTTTGACTTTAAGTAGTATAAGAATAAGGCATTTCAAATGTTACTTAAAGTTCCCCTATTATACTCCTTTTCAATATATTATAGTTCTCAGATATATACGAAACATGTCTCTGAAGTGTTTGGCTCGAAATACCAAACAGATCGTGCATTGTAGCATCCCATAAAGCCCTGTTTCAGAAGTGCTGATTCTGTGTCTGTATCTTTAGATGCTAATGAGCTGCTGCTGGCCACGCCCCTCTGAGACATGATTGGTTAAAAGAACACAATGGTGCTCTAGGGGGAGATTCAGGTGATAAAGTGGACGGGTGTTACCAGCTGATTTTCTGACAGGTTTTTATATAGATGGTTCCGGACAAAAAAAGGAGAGAATCTTTTTTCCTGAGACTTTGAGTCTTGTAACATGCTGGCGACACATATTTATGTATAAGAAATACATTGAAAAGTGTAGTTTGGATAATAGGTGACCTTTCTGTTGTCTTGAAAAGCACTTTGAATTGCCTCTGTGTCTGAAAATGTGATATAAATAAACGTACCGTACCTTACCTTTAAGTATAAAAAGACTGAATTGCCTGTTAATAAAGAAACCTCAGACACCCCCCAGGTGAAGGCACTAGGCAGAGGCACTAATATCAGAGCGGTCTAAACTTGGCTGTGTAAGTGGTCTCAAAGTAAGGTCTGATGATTAAAGATAAACTTTACTGAAGCAACAAGAGACTGCTGATGATGACGATGTTAATCAGATTTCTTTTTTCTGTCTTCAATCTCGTTTCAGACTTTCGGAGCCGATGATGTGGTGTGCACGCGCATCTACGTACGAGCATAGCAGAAGTCCACAAGTTCAAATATCCTCAAACAATTGTCAGTGTGAGAAATTTCACATAAAATCAACATTTTCTAATTAACTGTTTAGACATTCAATATTTACCATCTTCACAAAAGTCACAATTTCAGATGTTACCGTTTTTATCAATTTTTGTATGTAATTATCTAGCATTGGAAATCGAACAAATTATCTTTTGTTTGTTGAGTTAAAGAGTGTATGCTTTTGTGACAGTAGAAAAGTCAAAAAGGCAGATATATCACCTGATGAAGAACTTACGGGTTGACCTTTTTCTTTAAAAAAGAAACAAGTGGCCCTTATCATAAAAACGCTGTCAAAAATAAAAAGAAGGTGGTCAACTAGATTTCTTACTATTTAACGTATAGTTTAATGCCCAACACCATACTAACACTCATGTACAACATCATAAAAGTCCAGACACATTAAAACAAAGTACAAACAATGTCTTTATGTACAATCATTTCCCCGGGACTTTCTGTGGTATTCCATATTAAACATAGTAAATATAAAAATAAAAACCCAAGTAATAAACTGTTCCAAGATTGTCTGTAGCTGTTTATGTTACTGACCATTGCCTTTAATGGAGGAATATTTGTAGTCAGGTTGCTTCATTTTAAGTATTGGAGCAAATCTGTGCCGACATAATGAGCTTTTGGGGCTTCCAACTTGCTTATGTTATGATGATGTGAAGATAACAAGGATAGCATTAATGTTAAGAACTGCGTGTTGCTTATATGTTAATTTGTGAAACACGTTTAATGGTATTTAGCATGATGGATATCTTCCCGTCTCCATCTAACATATCGACCAATTCCAGTTTTATTGAATAAACTGCGGGAATAAAAACCATTAGTTTACATCCCTCTTTCAAAGGGAATACAACATTCACGTTTGTATTTCAGCAAGAAATACAAAACTGATGAACTACGTCTGAAGGAAATATTATTGCTTGCTTGTTATCTTGATCCATAAAGTGTTCACACGTCTGACATTCACATAGAGCTACTATACATCAGTCAGTGTTTGTCACCAACAAAGGGCATACAAAATAAACACGGCTCATGTACAGTTTTATAGGCGACATATCGATCCTGTCATACTGATTATAACCATTTCAGAAAGTTTAAATACCAGGAAAGGTTGATAGCATCGAGTAGACCTCAGTACTTTCAAAAAGGACATATACTGTACTTTCAGAAATGAGAAATGCTGCTCCGCTACATTCAATCATCTTCAAACCACGAGTGATACTGATACCAGAGACTGAAGGTAGAAATGCAAATAACGGGGTCGAAACACGTATAAAATGGGAAATTCTTCTACTCAAAGACTTTACACGTTCAACAGACCACAAACAAAAAGGTCTCTAATTAACATCCTTTGGTAAAAAACAGTTCAGCAAGCTTTAGCTAAAGACTGATACCAGATGTGTGTTAAAGTACGCTACATGTTAAAACAAATATAGATATAAACAACATATTTACAAAGTGTTGGGCGGTCATAAATTACTTTACGCAATATACACTGCTGGCATTGTAAATGTCTAGCATCTACCCAGCAGTCACCAGAGATGTTGAATGTACAGTTTATACTGTATATATATATATATTACCACTAAAGAAGGAAAACATTCACAGGCTATACAAGTTAACAGCTGGAAGCCAGATTACTGCCCGAGTATCAGGTACTTGTTAAGTGAATTATCTTTAACATTGTTTAGTCTAGTTTTGCTTAACCAGGTTTTCTGTTATTTAAAGTGTGAATTGCTCTAAATAAATGATGCACTAAGGAGTGTTTCCCCAGTCTATTCATCTCATGTAATTAATATTTCTTTTCAAATATAGCGACAGTAGCACCTGAAGAAAACTATTTACATACATTGCAGGATTTTGCAATGTAAGCTCAACGTTTGTAGACATTTCCTGACTCAGGTCGGACACCAAAAAAAAGTTGGCAACTGAATCCAGTAACGGCAGGTTGTAGAAATCTGCACGGAGTTACTGTGTACATGGAGTCATCACTGGCAGTGTGTGAAGACAGCCACCATCACAGTTTCTTTCAATAGAGAGAGACTACAGTGTTCTGTACTTCACACGGAACTTGTTAATGTTGATATAATGGAGGACCTTAAGGTGGCAAGTGGTGGTGCAGGGCAACAGGCCTTCTCTTCTTTCTCCCATCAGCCACTTGCGGTTGTCGGCAGCCATGTCACTGGTCACATGCTCTTTGGCCCAGGAGTCCAGCCAGGTATGAAAGCGTCTGTGCAGGCGAGTGTTGACCCGCTGTTGGGACTGAGGAGAGAAGACCACAGGAGCTCAGCTGACAGCTTGAAATATAAAGAGTCGTCACATTAACTTGCATAGTATAACATCAAGACGCAATGTATCTTGCCACTGGATTGTCGAGAATCGAGACTATCCTGTTTCTATGCTTCGAAGACATTTAAGCGATTGGTACTAGAAAACATCACTGAAAGCACCAACGGTAATGTAAGTATTGAATGGGATGGCCCCTTATTAAGTGTCATCTGGAGGCTCACATCTATCCACATCTCGTTTCATCCTTTTAAAATTAAAAGTTGAAAGAAAAACCCCAAAAATCATGATAGAGCCTTTTAAGAAGACAACAGACAAACCAAAAAGATAAGGTATGAAAGGGACAAAGATCATTTACAACATATCTTGAGAAGGATATGAAAACGTTGTGGGTCAAAGTCAAACCCCAGACAACAACCACTCGCAGCAATTATTAGGTTAAAATATGACATTGCATTTAAATGAGCAACAAGGTTGGGCTTAGCAATAGTTTGATCCCATCGCTCATAAAATCTAATAACATAATCAGTTTGTAGGAAATCCCGATAGTATATGTCTGGTGAAGGACAAAGAAAAAATAAATGCTAAATATTAGCTCGCTGAGAAAAATTGAGTTCATTGTTTTCAATTCTGGAAAGGTTAGTTTTTCTGACTTTGCCTCTAATGTTGAAACAGCTTTGCAATGAGCTGCATTGTGCTAGCACTATCACTGCTTACACGTTCAATGTTTCCACAATTTCGGTTGAAAGGAAAGCCATTTTGGTTGCTGCTAGAACCAAATATATATATATATTTGGTTGCTGCTAGAACCAAATATATATATATATTTGGTTGCTGCTAGAACCAAATATATATATATATATATATATTTAGCTTGTTGCAACACAAGACTACCAATATAATATGTATTTGTTTTCAAATGGTTGTGTGTGGGTGTTTTAAGTACCGCAGGTACGCGTAACAGTAATTTCATTGTATTTTATACATAATGACAATGCTTCTATTCTATCAAAGAGAAAAAAAGCTAACAATTGACATAACTTATTAAATGAAAGAGAAGACAACATTTATTGTAAGTATACAACTATGTTCTGCTTACCTGATGAGCGCGTGTGAGTGCGGTGTGCCTGTACATATAGTCTTCTGACTTGCAGACATAGACCATCTTGTAGGAGTTGAGCTTGAACATGCACTCCATCTTTATGTCGCTGCTGCCGTCCTGAGGCTTGTCCGAGGGGACCGTGTTCATTCTCTCCTGCTGCAGCTGCTCCCATCCTCTCTGGCATTTCCTTATGCGTCTCAAATTCCTGAAGGCCAAGAGATATCGACAGCCATGAATACCACACGGATCAAAGAGTAAATTCTTCTCATTACTCCAGACATCAAAAGGGTGCAGCACGTTTACAGGGAAAGTTCGCACAAATTTCAGTTTTAAACAGTTTTATTAACTTAAGCATGTTATACATGGAACAATCTTGTATTTGACAGCATACACTGCGCGGTTTAGAAGACTAGGAGATGTGGTCAGGCACAATACACATGACATTAAGCAAATTTGAGAACAGTAAAGTCAAATTTGAGAGGACTGTCCCTTTAAACAATAATTGTTTTAAACCCATGCATTGCAACTCACCGAGTAACCGAATTAGATAGGGAGTCAAATCGTTCGAGGGGAATGTGGATCTATAAGAGCAGCAGAGGCAGCAGTCGTAATATTTCTGTGCAGTGCACTTCCGATGCACAGCCACGTAGTTCAAATCTAAATATGCTTGGCAAAGAAATATTTATTTTAATTGGAAAATGTATTCTGATTTTGTGCAGGTAATAAAAAAATACAATTATTCACCCCACCTGAATGAAAGTTGAATGTGTACTTACCACTGAGGGTACAGGTGAGCGGGGACTGAAACCATGAAGCATATTTTTGCATTCAGGGCTCCACTTAAAAGACAGTGAGGCCAATTTCAAAAAAGTGTTAGAAACAAACACTAGAAAATTGATGCCGGATAAGATCCAAAATATGAGCTGAGAATACTTTGATGTGCACATACTTTCACCAACAATGTACACAGTGTTATGATCATGAGATGAAGACCCAACACAACTGGGAAAGAAACTGCTGATTTTTTTTTTTACTGCCATCAAAGACTTTTGTGAAGGAGGAAGTCTTTGGACCTCTTATGCTGCTGATCTCTCATAGATTGGATGAAAAAAGAAAAAAGGGACAAGATGTTGGTGAGCCCACTGATAAATCATAGTCAGGCACCAGATTTATGCAATGGGTTAAATAAGATAAATATATATTATTTTTTGTTGGCTTTTGAAATGTTATGGTAATGGACAGCCATCTCAAAGAAAACTGAAAACAGAAGAATCACCAAACAGCAATGACAGACAGCTCCATGTGCAACACTCATCTGGAGCTTCAAGAAACAGCGGACACAACTACGCCTCTATGCACAGCTCAGGAAATAAATACACCAACATGAAAATACAATTTAGACAATCATTTTATTTACATAACCTACTCCTCTGTACAAGTGTTGCAGATAATGTGCTTGACCAGAGTTTTAAAAACTTATGAGCACTAATTTCTGTCAAACCAGTGGAAGAAAACCTCACCAACAACAAAAAGTTGCAACGGGAGTGCACTGTTTCCACGGGAAGTTATTACAAATATTACACTGAGTATAACAGACTTAAACAAATGGACATTTGAACATTTACATTTCCAAACAGCAAATTAAGTCAAAAATAGGACGTTTGATCTAAATACAATCACAAACAAAGGGCATGAAAAGGTAGAAAAGGAAATCATGACTGCACCTTCCTCTCTTAACAAAGTCTCTCAGGTCCAACACAACAGCTTCAGTCTCACAAACTCAGGCCAAAGACATCGTAGAAAAATTATTTTAAAATGAAAAAGGTTGGAACCCATTTGTTTTGCTTTCAGTTTGTGCATTCAATGACTTTTGTTCTTATGTTACACAATGAGAAACATCATTTCAATTTCAATACAATGTGAATAATCAAACCAAATGATTTTGAGGTGGAAATTCAAAACCCATGATCAAGCCAAAACCATTTTAAAAAACCTTACTACTAATAAATAAAATTCCCATTAAAAAGGAACTGAATCAGTGAATAAATAAATTCCATATTTTTTTAAAAGATGGCCATGTAAAGTGCAATCTTCAATGTGAGGCAGAGATCAAAACTGAAAAGTCATGTTCTCACGGCCAATGAGATTCTTTACAAACAGCAGGGCATCAGGCACTGCGAGCACTTCACTGTATCTGTGGAGTGACTCTCTTCAATGAACCTTCTCAAACCTTGTAGTTTGTCCGTTAATAAAAACGCAGAGGTCCTATGCCTAAAACTTTTGTAATTACAAGAGCTTCCTTGGGTCAGAGTTGTGCACAAGTGCCAAAGGTTCTACTTCTGAAAATGAGTGGTGTTTGGCAGCTGGTTTGGCTTGTCAACAGTGGAGTGGCTGCTCGGCTGTCTAGAGCCTCAGGACAGAAAGTATGCAGACAAGAGGGACACATGGCTGGGGCCTCACCTGGGGAGGAACACCGGCGTCTGGGACAGATGCTCACGCAGCTCAGGGGACGCAGAGTCTGAGTTCAGGTATCTGCCCACGTAGTCTGACCACCTCTGTGGAGGACAGAGCAGAAGAAAAAAAACATTAAAGAAAGCATGCAGACACACATTTGAACCTCCTACTTAACCAGAATAGTAATTATGGCCTCTAAAATCAGGAATATAAAGGTTAAAAAGTATTAAACAATATTGTTTAGCTGGAAAAATAAATCAAATCAGCCAATTTAAGCTTGTCGCATTTATATTAGTCTACGAAATGTCGGAATATATAAACAAAAGCTCATCTCTTGTAGTCGAGGTGACCAACTGAAAGCCAAAAACACAATTATAATATATTAAAAATAATACAAAACAGTAAAGCTGCACATTCTCACATTTCAGAGTCTGGAACCATTAATCACTCAAGCTGATCAAGAATATTCTAATTGATACAAATATTTGTAATCAAACATCAAAAGAGTTGGTAATTATTTTCTGCTCGTCCAGTTGGACAAATAGTTTCTGCAACAATGCCCCTTGGTGTTAAATGTGGACCAAAAATATACATAGCAGTCATACTTGTTGCAGGGCTGTACTACAGGACACTTAATACTTGAACTGTACTTCAATGCTCAATCGTCATACCTCTGCCTCCGCTGGCTCATCAGAGTTGTCCTCTTCCGTGTCCAGCAGCTCCATGGCCAGACTGACAGATCCTCGGCTCTTTACAAACATCAACTAAACAGAAACACAATCAGAGGATATCTTGTTTAAACAAAGTGCTCAGAATAGTTTATACCGATCTCTCGGGACAAATGGTACCTTGAAGCAGTTTTCATCCGTCATTAGCTGCTCTGCTTTGCGCTGGTAGGAGCCCTCTGCTGTGGCCCTGGACGTCTGCGTGGACAGTGGCCCCCCCGAGGATTTGTTGGCACTTTCGCTCAGGTACAGGTCCGTTACACGTGCACATACATCATCAGTGACGAGGTGCTGGAGCTGTGAAAGCAGGGGGTTCAGAATGCAAGTATCTTCAAATGAAAAACTAGAGCCAGCTCAGTGCAGAAGTTAACACTTAGGTTGTTATAGTCACAGTTAATTAATGTTTTATATGAACTAAAAACATTTTAGTTATAAGTCTGAGTCCGGTTTTTACAGAAACAGAAATAGAATCATCATCATTGAATGTGCTGACCTGCCGGACGATGCTCTGGATGAGTTTGTCCATGGTGAAGGCAATGTAGGCATGGATAGTAAACATTTCCCTCAGGGAGTCCTCGTACTGAATCGGCTCCATGTTCCCATCCAGAAGATTACGCACCATTTCCAGGAACACCGAGTAATAGTCCTCAACATCAACATCCACTGCAGGTAGAAAGTAGTACATGTGTTCACGGTTATATAGCGTGAGATTACAAAGTATAATGCAACCTGTTTCACCCATCAATCAAACTGAGTATGTTTAAACAAAACCTTAACCACTTCTTCTCTTTCTCACTTACGTGGCTCCTTCATCTTCAGTTGGATTGCTGGGTTTTCATTTTTTTCCCTTTTGAAGCCCAACACTTCTCTTTCCCACTCTCGCTCCCTGGCGTCCTCCTCTATCTGTTTCTCAGCCTGCCCGTAGATGCGTAGCAAACGCGTACAGAGGATGTGATGAAGACGAAGGAAGATGTACCAGTAGTTGTTCACGAACAACAGGCTGTAGGCTTCGTCTGTGCCCCGCAGCTTCTGAGCTGCCGTGTTGCTGAAGAGGAGTTTGGACTTTGACGGGCTGCTGCCTGGCAGGCCATTGTGCTTCTTGGGGCCCTCTGAATCCATCTCCATGTCTTCTTCTTCCTCCTCCTCTTCTTCCTCCTCCTCGACATCAGAGAGCTCCCCTCTCCGTGCGAACAGGAGGTCCGGGATGAAGTGGTGGATGATCTGCTTGATCTTGTACTTGTCTTCTTTCTGGATGCCCACCTGTCTTTTGACGTGGTGGATGATGAGGGCAAGCAGCGTCCTCCAGGATCTGGCTGTCTTCATAGTCTGGGTCAGGTGAGGGCCAGTTACTGGCAGCGTGGCAGTTTCCATCTCCTCTGACGCTCGCTCCTGGCGCTACAGGAGGCAAGACAGAAGATAGAGTCTTATAAAGGCAGTAGCATTGTACATGCAGCCACTGTATTAAAAGCACAACTCAAACCAAATATCATAATAAGTGATTATGTCTTCATGTTTACTTACGTCATCATATAGCATTTCAATTTCATTCAGTAAGGTCTTTGAACGCAACACTTTGGTGTCATTCTGCTTGAAGTTGATGCCCTGGTGGTCGAGTGACTTTAGGTAATACTTTTCATTCTGATCCCGCCAGATTTTGTTGAAGCCTCTCTGGGCGTCTCTCCACTCGTCCTCCTTCATTTTTAATCTGAGACAGGGAGAGGAAAAGGGCGTAAAAATCTAATTCTATAAAACAGGAACAGTATTTTAACGTATACAGCACTTTGGTCTTTAAGCTGTTTGATTGTGCTCTAGAAATAAACTTCACTGACTTGCTTACTAACTAACTATTAAGCTCTGACCTGAAGCAGAAAATAATAAGTAGATCAAATCAGATTATTAACCTTTTCAGCACTATGGGAACAGACACAGCTGGGTTCTTCTTGAGCCCGTCGATGATGTCGTTGGCCTTGTCTCCATATATCCTCTGAATAGCCTTGCGATGGATGACCTCTGAGGATCCACCCATTGTGTTGTCCATCTTAAAGCGCAGTTGCTCCTCAGCGGACATGCGAGAAATCTTCCGCTGCACCGCCTCCAGGGCTCGTATCGTGGAGAGGTTGGCTTCCAACACCACATCCAGCTATGGGGTGCAGTCACAGTGAAATTATTTACAAATGCATTTATCATATGTGATTATAACTGTGGCGCAGTGGAATCGTGCGTTGATGTTGGGATCAGGAGGGCACAGGTTCAAACCCCACTGCAGTCAGCATGTCGTTGTGTCCCTGGGCAAGACACTTCACCCCAAATTGCTCCTGTGGGGATTGCCCACAGTATTGAGTATGTAAGTCGCTTTGGATAAAAGCGTCTAACAAGTAACATGTAATAACTGGTAGTGTCATACCTCATTCACACCAATGGTGTTTCAGGGCCAGTTCGGAGCTGGAGCTTGAAAAGCACCGGGTTTTCCTGTTCACACCGCAGCGGAGCAGCCTCTTAGCTCCGGAATCCGGTTCGTTTCAAGCACCAACATTTTTTCCAGCTAGAGCAAAAGCACCGCATACGTCACGCTTACGTCGAGGCGGGGGCAGGGGCGGGATCAACTCCTGAACAACAACAAAAAGCCCGCGTTTTATCCAGTTTGTACACAACGATGGAGCAACTTAACAAGCAGCAGTGGTCCACTGAAGAGACCAGCTACCTACTGGGAATCTGGTCTTCTGAAGAGGTACAGAGGAAGCTGGAGCACAATCGGCCATTGTTGTTGTTGTCGGTGTCAGCTGTGAGGGGTTTCCGCGCGGTTTGGCTTTATGAAGCAGGCACGCAAACGGTTACGTCATGACGCAAACGATGACGCAATGAAGCAGCACCAGTCGGACTCTGGGCGGTGTGAAAAGAGCCGGAGCTAAACCGAAGAACCGGTTCTGAACCTGAAAAGCTCTAGCACGGAGCTTGAACCGGAGTTGCGTTGGTGTGAATGAGGTGTCAGCAGCAAGTTTGTTCTGTGGTCTTTTGACTACTGCGCAAAGGGCATCATGGAGAAAAGGTGCTGAACACATTTTAATAACTACAAGAACTAACAGTATTTATTTTGAAGTATGCATGGTCTGGGTTCTCCTCACCTCAAAGCGCTCATCCTCACATCTGTAAATGTGCTCCTCATATTGAGTCTTCTTGGAGCTCACAAATGTAGAATCTTCAGACCACGATGGAAACGACACCCAAGTGTCATTAAGGACCTGAAAGAGAAAATGCCACGCTCAATTAAATTATCCGTTTAAGGAAGGCCTTTTATTCCCAAAGATGTGGAATTTAGCAACAAGTATGACTAAAGGCAGGAAAATAAGTGTTTTCAATCCAAGCTGTTAATATATATATCCATGCCTTCTTGATGGCACGGTGCTTAAGGAAGCAATTTACAAACCAAATGAACAAATCTAACTGCTGCAACTGTGGCATTTTCCTAAAAAGGATACTTCTAATAACTATGTCAATTAATCTTCTTAAAAAGCTAATTGTAATGCTACTTGATGCCTGGTAAATATAAATCTCAAACACAAATATATGTGTATCACGGTATCTGGAGACCATGTGGGCAAGAAAAAGGTTATCATGACAGAAACACCGGAGCAGACTTCCCTCTGGGACTCACCTCTCTACACAGCGGCGTCCTTCCTGTGCACTTGGGCTGCTGGTAGCTCTTGGGCAGGGCTCTGTAGCTGGACCCCAGCCTCTTGCAGGACGCGTAGTCAATCTCCATGGCGATGCCCTCTGTGGCACGCTCCTTAGGTAAACTCTCTGTGTGGCTGGACTCCCCGTGAAACGACTCCCGGTAGCCCAGGAAGTTTTTGAACCATGTAAAAAGCTCTGGGAATTTTCTGTCAATCAAGCAACAATGTTTGTGAAATAAACAATTAGTAGTGAGACTGCGGCCAGGTGGTTGACTGGTTATTGGTAGAAGACATTTTTCAGTGATATCGGTATTAAATGAGTTATTTTGAAACATACATTTAGCACACGTTTTTTTATTCTGCTTATCATTTTCATTGCATTTTACACTAAATTGAAAATAATATCCATCAGGATAAATAAAGTTTTATCCTCTATTAAATCAACACAATATTTGATTAAAAACCAAATGTAAGGACTGTAACATTATGATATAACAGAAGATAAATTACAATATATTTCTCAATAAATACTGACACCAATTTGGGAGTAACACAATTACTGCAATAGTTGTACTTCATATCTCTAGTAGTACTCAAAGTCTATTTACCACTCAGGTGTTTTAGTTTGGTTTCATTATTTAGCCACAAGGCACAACAGTACGGTTATAGAGGCAGTAAAGCACTGGAGACTGTAGACAGGTATAACATAGAGCATGTAGGTTTAAACTCACCCAAGAAATGGGATGACCAACTGGACAAGCTCAGCCCGAGAGATCACTTCCTGATTGAAAATGTGAAGACACCGCAGGAAGTTGTCGTACGCCTCAGAGCTCCGCAGAGCTTTCTTAACCTGTTTTGTCAACAAAAAACAAGCCTTCCATTGAGATGATGTCAACAATCAATATATAGCAATTCAGTCGTAAGCTTGTAATTGCAGTAGGCTGGTTCTGAATATAACAATACGGACCTTCTCAAAGAACATGGTTTCAGTGCTGGTGCTGTGTTTGCCGGCTTCAGTCAAGCCATGGTCCTTCCCCAAAATCTTGGGCTTTTTCTGCAAGGCAATTTAAACACCGAGTTGAGAGCAAAACCAATACATCACAATAAATCTTACCTTTTTGAAGCTGTTCAATTTTTGTCAAAACAGGGTTTATTTAACTTTATGGTCATTATGTTCTTTTGTGTAGATGCTGCTGAACTGAGTTGAGGTTTTTCTAGTATTTAGTCTAGACTTATTAACATCAATTGCCTTTGCAGTGGTGTGAGTACCTTAACAGGGGGCGTGGGTCCCCCTCCAGGAGGTCTCCTGATGGGCAGGCCATTTTGGCTCAGTCTCTGTTTGCTGCTCAGTAACGGTCTCTTCACTGTGCCGCCATGATCATTGCGCACCGACTCCGCTCTGTCTGGTGCAGCCTTACACAGCAGCTGAGAAAAACATTATACATTATAATGTCACCAAAGAGAAGTCAGTCAAAAAGCACAAGTCTCATTTACTCTGGGGTTATAACAATTGTATCAAATGGGTTTCAATTCTGTTAACTCAGAAACATGGTAAGCTTTATTAAAATGTGCTTACCACCCCTGACAAAAAAAAACTAAACTTAAATGTCAAGCGGAATGAAAACACACTCCAGCTAAATAACTTTTTTTATTTTTATAATTACATCAACATATTAATAATTCACATGCAAAATAAAGTTAACTCGGTCTTCCCTGCTTAGTTTGACCACTGATAAATACATTTGACAACCCATAACATATTGTCTATGAGAGGAGCAGAATAGTTTCTTTTGTACGATGCTACCTAAACGTATCATGTGTGGTTTCAGGGATATTTTATTATAATGAAATACTACTATGAATATGCCTTATTTTGTATGTATGTTTTTTTAATAGTCCAGTTAGAATGGCCCCACAGTGTAGGAGTATGTCCACAGGCACTCACCAGCGAGCTGTTTGCATCGGGCAGGAACTGTCCAAACTCTGAGAGCAGGTCCTCCTGGTTCTTGAAGAGTCTCGCCACCTGAGTGTAGACCTCCTGCTCAGTCAGTGCTGGGGTATAGTTACCTGCTGCCTCTTTAGCGTTTCGTTGTTCCTTCTGGGAGTTAAAAAGAAAAAGGAGGTGGTGAGATTACTACTGGGTGCATACCATAGTAATTTCTCCATAAGAAAATCTGACTTGATCAATCTGGCTGAATGTTTATTTTATTGATGTGAATTTTCTTACCTGGTATGTGTGAAGTATTTCCAGGAAGGATTTGTAGATGTCCGGCTGGCCCTGGAAGCGGTTCTTGATCTTGTTGACATAATTTATAGCGTGGTTGAACTCCACAGGCTGGTTGTTTTGGAGAGGTGGCCCCGCGGACGGTGTGCTGCTCACAGGAGTGTGGGACTGAACTGAAGGTGAGCGCGGTGAGGCGTAGGAAGGGATGGATGGGTTGGGCTGGCTGGTGGGTGTGTGGGCTGGAGACTGAATTGGCTTATGGAATTGAAAGAGAAGAGAAGAGCATATCATCACACTCGTCCAGTAAAGACTCAGTTTGGTGGGCATAAAAACATGTTAACAAAATCTCAGAAAATCTCTTTTCAAAACAATGTTGAATAACTTAAAAAGTGGTTTGTTATCGTAATACTTTATTTAAAAGCTCACTCTGGTGTCAGTTTAGAAAAAAAGAAACATTTTAGTGCATTAAACTCAGATCAGTTAACTAATATAGAAACCTACCTTGCTGGTTTTACTCGGGGCCGGTTGGGTGGGGACAGGTGGGGCAGTGGTGGTTGTGGTGGGGGTTTGGGGGGCAGCCTGTGGCAGACTCTGGTGCTGGTTGTGGCTTGCAGGTTGGCTGGACGCTCCACTTATAGGGATGTTATGAACAGAAATACCATGAGGCGTGATGTAGTGGATCTGACCTGGCGTGGTTACGTTGACTAGATCGTTGGTTTGAACCTCAATTTTATATCCGGGTGGCAAGAAGGTGTTAAAACCCATGATGAGGTCTGGGTGGCCCTTGAAGAGCTGGGACACGCGGTTAATGACTCCAGGAGTGTCTATGCTGTAGTGACAGGAAGAATGATAGTATTTAATATCTGTTTATTTATTGACTAAGTCCACAGGATTTGTTCTGCATGTAACTTTTTCATTGCAAAGAGTAGAGGTACTGAAATGATTAAATGTAGTCTAGCATCTAACAAAAAGGGCAAAAAGCATTTAAGTGCAAAGTAACGTATAAAGTATATACAACATTTACCAAAATATATAGAATGTAAAATAAATGCTATAAGGAAGATATGAGTATGTGTCAATAGTAGTCTACAGAATTGATAGTAATATAAATATTAAATACTATTTTCTTTAAATGTTGATGAAAATTAATAAACAAGAACTCACCTCTGTGACTTGAACTCTTTCATAATATCAAGAAAATCATTGTAAACTTGTGGCTGATTCCCAAACTGCAGCTTCACTTGATCCAGATAGGACAAGGCATCTTCCACCTACGAAGTGAAGAGGGAAAACATTTGACAGATATCTTTAAATATTACAACCACTGAATGCAGAATAAAAAACGAAATTGCAACCAGAAAAAAGGGCGTTGCCTAAGAGACATGTTTAATTACTGATTTCATTATCACTTATCAAAACACATTGCAAAGATGGGTGCTTATTAGTTTTCTTTGGAGGCGAAGTTTAAAAAAAAAAAAAAAGTTTGTCCATGTAGCCGTACCTTTAGTCGCTGAAACTGCTGTCCTTGGGTAGAAGTCATGGGTGCAGGTGGATGGACGTGACCCTGGACCACTGTGGGTCCCTGGGACTGAGCTGCCAGGCTGTGTGCATGGGGACCAACATGAGGGGCAGTGTTGTTATGTCCATGTCCGTGTCCATGTCCACCTGTGCTCTGAGGCAATGTTGGCACCTTTTTAAAGGAGGAAATTACCAGAATATTAGGATCAATAATCTTTAAAATATATATCTCAGTGTTTCCCACAGATCTGAAATATACTTGTGGTGGTAGCCGAGAACAGTACAGGAGGGGTAGAGCGAGGGATCATTGTCCACTAGTTATGGCGTCGTGCTCGCGGACGGATACAAAATAGGGCTGAACGATATATCGTGTCATGGCGATAACCGCATGCGCGATATTCACACCGCAGGGACGTGCGGTTTTATTCATTTTTTTTTTATGCTAACGCAATTTAGCACAGAATTAAAAATAAAGATACCCTTATTACTTATCGAAACTGCACATACAATATATCCGATTAAAGCTGAGACTCCACAGATTATTTAAGAATAGTATCTAAGCGATCCGATCTCGCAACAGGGGAAGCAAACACGGACATCACAACACGTACCTTTTACGGAGCTTTTACGGGAGATTGTCTCATTGTAGCGGTCAATCTGATCAAAAGATGTGTTCAATGGCATTAATACGAGAAAAAACGCTGAATCGGTTAATCCATAGGTTAATAATGTATCTGTGGCTTTGAAGCAATTGTTTATATTCCATAATTCCATTTTATGTAAAAATCAGAGCACAAAAGTTAGCTGCTAATGGTAGCCACCAGAGTGTATGCAGCTTCCGGTTTTGGCTACGCGTCACTCTCACTCCTTATTTGTTCATGTGTTGGTGTGTGTAGAGCTTCCCCTCGATTCCATTGGCTCTAGCGGTTATAAAGAGATTTCATTCATCAAAATCCAGCAAGGGGAGCCAGAGATATGGAAAATCCACCCAAATGACCCCAGAAGTGTTTTTTTGTGTGCTAAATCTCTCTAAAAAGGTCAACTGTCACTTGTTTTGCTTCAATCTTGATACAGGGTACTTATTATATGTTGTACTTTGGATTCCTAAAGCTTTTAGTCTACTAACCCATCATCCAAGGGTAGTTTTCACTATAAGTAAAAAATAATTTTGGACGGACACTATAATTTACAGTTTTTTTACTATGTTCAATCTGAATTTTCTTTAAAATAAAAAACATCTATATTGATTCTGACTTGTCTACATCCAACTCACAGGTTTATCATTACTTTGAGAAAAAAGATTATTAATTTAACCCTTTTAGAAGGGAAGATATGGTCATTTGTTCTGGGAATGTCATTTTCGAGCCTGAGACCTGAAAAACAGGCTCAGTGCTAGGTGAATTAACTCAAACACGTCATGTTACAATTATTTTGCTGCTTGCTACAAAAGGAAAATTTGCGTGGCTCTCATGTCAGGGGTACTTGAGTGAGTGACATGCAGGCTCTGCATGCACAGCAAACCACCAATCACAATCATTCTTGATCAGATCACAGCAGGCCCCGCCCCGCTAGTTTGCAGACCATCAAAACACCGGTAAAAAATGAGCGAGGCACAGGAGGACAATACCTTCATCCGGTTAAATATAGTTAAAAAAACGCAATATATATCGCAGGGGGGGGGAAAATCGCAATGTCAGTTTTTTTCAATATCGTGCATCCCTAATACAAAGAAATTAAGCCTAAATGGGTCGCAAATATACTTTGGCGGACGTTAATATACCTGGGCGGCCCGCCCAAGTAAAGTCTATGTGTGGGAAACCCTGTATCTATGTCTTCATTAGTTTCCTCAAATTGTTCTGATTGTTACACTGAACAAAGGACTCTTTTTATAACGTTCCTACATTTTTATAAATCATTCAATTCTGCTGTGGAGGCTGTTATCTATGACAAATTGTTTGATGCAGTTATACCTGGTAGCCTTGGGGGAGAGAGTACTGGATGCCGGTGGATGGCTGCATGTTGTCTGCAGATGCCTCTATCACAGTAGGGGCCGGGGCGAGGGCCCGGTGCTGGAAGCTGTCTGCAATGCCTTGAACTTGGGGACGACGTACTTGCTGTTGCTGGGGCGCAAATATCGGTTCCTGGTCCTCCACACGCCTCTTCATTGTATACGCATACTCAAAGGGGCTACATTGGACAAAGATATATTGACAGTTAACAGGTTGTTGAGTTTAAATTATTCTGAACAACCACATTTCAAAGCATTCTTCAAGAATGTGCTGTCAAATCAGTCATTCTTTCACAAATCAATATGAATGCAAAGAAGTGAGCTATTTATATTTTAAGAGTACGGTTCTTCAATTCCAAATGATGTCTATTATCATAATTATAACATTCTTGTTAAAGTTGTGTGTTGGAAAATTGTGAAAGGTCTAGTCTGTGTACACAGTGAGGTTTGACAAATTCAGCTTATCAAGTAAATGCGGCAGCCACCACAGTCCCATTTAAAATCTGAAGAATAATGTTTATTTCAAACCTTTATTGAAGTTTACACTTTAAAAAGGTTGGATGGAGAACAATTATATTTTGACATAGTTCTCAATTTGATGACAAATCCTGAAAAAATATCACAAACAAAACAACAATTCTGGGGGAAACAAACCAGCAATGCGAGTCCCGTCCATCATTGCTCACAAGAATGGCTGAGACAACCAGTTAGGGACTGTCTTTCAAGTAATTGCTTTAGGTGTGCAGGGTTTCTTTGTCCTGCTAACAAATTCAATTTAGCCTTTATTGTCAAATGTGACACAAAGGTTTGTTAAACAAAATGATGTAGCAGTTAAAATTGATCATAGTGATACTGTGTTCATTATAAACACATGCTCTATAAGTCTAATTTGTGAATGACTTTTGGCAGTCTATTACATGTAAAGTACAAATGTCAATTTATTTCCATGATCAATTAGAACACCATCAGACTTTTGAACTCTTCAGATCATGATGATTGCATAGTTACACAAATATGTTTAGCTCTGGTCTATCAGAATGTCCAAGTATGTTTCCACATACAGGGAATTAGGTTTAGTGTAGTGTTACAATAAGCAAAATAAAACAAAACGTTAAAATGTAAGGAGCTCTGCATTTTTAAAGAAGTGATCGCTGACATTTACAAAATGATCCCTTGGGCAAAGGTTCAGAGCACGAAGTATTAAAATAAAATGAAATCTTTCTATGTGGCTACATGCACCGTGAGAAAATTAATTTATTGACGTTCCCTAAGTAAACGTCATTGCAGTCGGTCAGCGGAGAGCCGACATTGTGCCTCACTGCTCTGCACCACCAGTTTCGGAAAACACGGTGTCTGAGCGTTCGGTCTTCAGTCGCCGAGATCGAGTCTGTGGCATATCCAGCTTCACATTTTCTTTGCCGAAACGCGAAGCAAATACGACAGACAGTACAATATGGCGAAATGTGTGGACTGGCGCGACAAAAAAGCTAGCATTTAGCTGTCAGCCAACACTTTACAGGCATGTAGGCGCTGTCTCTCTCGCTCGCTGTAGCCCTGCCTCATCCCCTCCCCCTCTCTGACAAACACCGAGCTTAACGCCATCCGTTTTCGGTGCAGCTGACCGCTTTCGCTTGTCTGACGTTGGCTTCAGAGCGATCTCAAAGTTATGTGGCAAGCGAGCTAACCTAAACTATCTGCAAATTAAAGGCTATTTCGCGGAAACAAACAGCGAGTGGTGGTGTGTCACTCGGGTAATCGCTGACCGTCCTCAGTAAAATGGGACTTACTATAAAAAATCAAAATGAGCTGAGCGTGTTGGCTAACAAGATATAACGAAAAGAAAGCAGCCACGCTTCATTGCAGCTGACAGCGCGACAACACAGCTGGTTAAGTGTATAACATATGGGCTACCGTTTAACCAGGGTAGTAAAATAAATTCACTTAGTGAGTAATTAATTATGGCAATGCTAGATGTGGGGAAGAACGCTAGCTAGCTAGCACTAGCATCTACATAGCGTTAACGTCGCATTAACGGCAAGTTATGCGAGAAGTTTGACAGAAAAACACTTAGTTGTCATACACGCGGCTTGTCCGCCAGTAACGATTCTTTATTTTAAACCTCCAACCAGGCAGTACAAAATATATAGCAAGGAGGAACTAACAACAAAATGCATGTTGTCAGGTCAGTCTACTCGGCGCTAGCATGTCAGCTAATTCATGGTCGCCGCTCTTAGCCTGGACTAGCTTGACTAACTTATCGGCACTGCACGCTAATGTTGCTGCTACTCAAACTCCACATTTTATTTGGTTGGAAGACGAAAATAAAACAAAATACTAAATCATCACAGAACAGTGGGGAGTGTTAGATCGCTATCTTGTCTGTTCGGCAAGGTTATATATAAGCTAACAAAATGCTACGTTAGCACAACAAACCAACCCCCCATCAGTAAAAGGTATGCTCGGCTAACGAGCTAAGACTAGTTCAACTTACCTCGCAGGACTGCCACCAGCAACACTTTGACCCAGTGAACCACTACTCGTGCATTCAGCTGGCCGTAACAAAAAGTGAAGTTATTAGAAGTGGTCGCAAATGGAAATGTCAAAAAAGAAATTGGCCGGAGAGGCTACGTCGCTAACAACAGTGTATGTATGAAGCGGTGTTCCCTGAACATAGAGGCGTGTCCAACATGAAGGCGGGCTAGTCTCCTCCCAGTCTAAACTGTGATTGGTCACATCCCCAGAATGAAAACAAATACAGTAAGGGCAGTGAGCCAGTATCTTCGGTTAAAGGCGTCTGATTTAGTTGATGGTCATGCCTAATGCAGGATTATCTGCACCACAGCCTCCATGTTGCCCGTCTTGTACATAGGTCGATGTTTACTTATTTTCACAAATGTGGATTTGCAATGGTCAACATCACTAAAGATGCCTTATGAACTAAAGCAGAGGTTTTCTTTTCTTTTCCTTTTTTTACAGCAAGGACCCCTTAACAAAATAGCATAGGCCTACCAGTAATGTAGGCTACTTTCCTTTGGGTTTGGTGAGGCTTGTGTTAATGTACGATACGATATTACTTTATTTGTCAGATTATTTGTCATCATTTGACTTGCGTCACAGCAGCTCCATGTCCAACATCAACAGACAAATATCCAGACAAAAATACATGAAACACAAACAACAAACATTTAACATAACAGCACAATCAGTGAGAGAAAAGCTGCTCAAAGAGCCTTCAGTGTGCATTTGATCTGGGATTTAGCTCTGTATTTACTGTGAGGATTGACTGATGCACAAAGGAGTGCTTCAGTCTGACTTCATTGAATCGTGGTACCCTGTATCTCCGATTAGATGGTAGCAGTTCATATTCACTGTTCAGAACATGGTTTGGGTCGGAGATTATGTTGTTGGACAGCCTCACTAGGTTATTATGATAGGCTGAGTCGAGTCTCTGACAGGGTTGACCAACAATCTTTGAGCACATTTTTAACAGGTGGAGCAGTTTTGATTTTAAAGCTGCTGACAAACAACCCAAGACAAAATTGTTGTACGATTTTAAACATGTAAAGTCATAGATTTGGGTGATTGGAATGTCACCATAAATAGTTGGTTGGGCTGTTTTACTTTTTGGCTTTTGACTGTACCACCATCATTTGCATTAACACATGCAGCAGGTCTATCAATTGAAGCACATCCCACAATTTTTCTCTGAATTACATACAGCTATTTCGGTATAGCGTAGGCCTACATGCAGTTCTGAGAGTGCAGTTTACTAACGCTCAATGCTCAAATTTCTAATAAATAGCGTTTCTAAACTTTCAACATCTTATCGTCGACTTTGTCAATGGGCTGCTCCTCATATTTGCTTTAAAATATTGTGAGATGTGGTTAAAAGCTATTAAAAAAAAGAAGCAAATTCATCTTTAAGCTTAGATTGTTTCATTGCACATAACTTGATCCCAAAGGCCAAGAATGAATTTAGGTGCTCAAATTAGAATTTACTTCTTGCTACCTGGATATCCCAACTGCCCTGTGTAGATGTGTCTGTAATGCCTCATCATGAAAGCCAGTGGTGTTGCTGTGAAAACTCCTCACTGTGGCTCACTGCATGAAGCCTTTAATCTGATTTTGATGAAGCAACACTGCACCTCTGCTCCTCTTTGATGAAGTTGATATGTATTGCATTAAAATAAATAGCTACTACGTAAAGATAAATTATTTTTAATTCAGTAATATAACAAGAAAACCATATTTAAATGTTCCTTCTATTAATTTTTCTCTCTAAAGTGTAACATACTATATTATATCATAAATATATAGGCATTGATATCAGATTCACAATAGACGATTGTCCTGGCCCTGATATTATCTCAACATCAATAAAACATTTGAAAATAATAATAACAATATCAGTGAAATTCATCTGTATATTCGTTTATTGTGCATTTTGTTCTTTTATGTCAAATGTATAACACTCATTTGTGAGTGGGCCGTTGTGGTAGGGGGAACAAAAACGGTACTGTAAGGAACAAAAACAGAAAAGATTTAAGAGGCGCTGGTTTAATTACACAATCTAGTTATGTGTATCATTAACATGATATCATTTTAAAAATAAACATCACAGTTATATTAATCCTGAAACCTGTGATAATTGTAACACTTACAGTAGAATAAGCACAGTTCTCTGTTGAATAAGTACAGTTTGTCATAGAGTTTCAGCACCAGTCTCATAATCAGTGTTTTCCACTAAAACTGAGATTTAATGTCTGTAACCCTTTCTCCATACCAAATGTCAGCCTCCTATGGTACCATGGGGATGTTATTGTCAGCCAACAAAAACACAGAGCGAGATAGCTGCTTATTGCAGCTAATATAATAAAGTATAAAGTATGGTTACATACTATGTGCTCCAAAAATACTATTGTTTTGTTCTAACTAGTTCCTTTTACTGTGTGCTGCAACATTCCTGGACAAGACAGCTTTGCCACAAAAGAAAAACATAAAATATGAATCTCAGTTTAATACAGAACCAACAATTAATTATAGAAAAAAAAGATATTCTTCTTTTTTAAGTTAAATAGGGGTGCACATCACACAACAGTAAGCACACATTTGGAGTCTCAAACTTTTTGTTAGGACTATGACAAAATGCACCATTTTGGATCTTAATCTCAGGTCCAAGTGTCTGATTTTATTAGAGTTTTAGTAAATGTTTTTCTAAAATGTTTGTGATTAGTGAGCAACAGTGACCCAAAAAAATCAGAAAATTAGGATAATATAGTCTGGTGTACAGTATAGACAACACGTGTTGTTCTATATACTTCATATTATGACAGATTATCACCCAGCAGCATGTTCAGTTAAGGAAGATATTTTGAAGGAATATGCTTATAGTTGTTAAAATGACTCCTGCTGCCAAAGCTGAGGCCTGTTCTGGAGCTGCAAGACAAGAGAGGAGAGGTTACACATTTACAATTTGTGTGTGGTGTGTGTGTGTGTGTGTGTGTGTGTGTGTGTGTGTGTGTGTGTGTGTGTGTGTGTGTGTGTGTGTGTGTGTGGTGTGTGTGTGTGTGTGTGTGTGTGTGTGTGTGTGTGGGTGTGGGTGTGTGTGTGTGTGTGTGTGTGTGTGTGAGTGTGGGTGTGTGTGGGTGTGGGTGTGCATTGTTATCATAAAAAAGTTATACCTACCCAATGCTTTTAACATGTTTTATTCTCGATTCGAGAAAAATGATTTCTCCATAAACACCTCAACTCTTAGAGAGTCTCTCTCCGACATAGTAATTGAACAGGATGATGTTAGGAATCTCTTAAAACGAGTCAATATTAGGAAGGCCCCAGGTCCTGACCATATTTGTGGGCGGACACTCCAGTATTGTGCTAGCGAACTCTGTGGTGTTTTCCACCATATCTTCCAATTGTTACTTGAGAATAGCCAAATTCCTGATATGTGGAAATCCTCAACTGTAATTCCCATCCCTAAGAAACCTCATCCTAAAGTCCTAAACAACTTCACACCAGTGGCTTTAACATCATGAAAATGTTGAGAAAATTGTTAAAGGCCTTGTCATGTCAGTAGTAGGTGAACTTGATCCACTACAATTTGCGTATCAGGCAGGGAGAGGCGTAGAGGATGCAAAGCTTTTTATACTGCACACCCTCCACAAACACCTTGAAAAGCCACAAGCCCATGCTAGGCTTTTATTTGCTGACTTTTCTTCAGCATTTAACACAATGCAGCCGCATCTCCTGGTAGAGAGCCTATTATGTCATTTTAAACTGCCCGATCAACTTGTTTTATGGATTTTAAACTTTCTAACTAATAGAGAGCAGAAGGTGTCTGTCAATGGACCTCTCTCTGACTCTGTCATCACTTCACAGGCTTGCCTCAAGAATGCGTTCTTTCGCCCCTACTTTTTATAATGTACACTGATAAATGCAGGAGCATGCAAGACAACAGCTACCTGGTTAAATTCTCTGATGATACCGCCCTCTTGTCCCTCCTTAGCGACTCAGAATCAGGCCACGAGTGTGCTCTTACTGATTTTATTTCCTGGTGTACATATACGTGCACTACGCTCTGCATCAGCCAAACGACTCGCTGCACCCTGGCTGCGAGGGGGACCCAAGTTCCCATCAGCAAAAACACGTGGGTTTGCTATCCTGACTCCAAAATGGTGGAATGAGCTCCCCATTGAAATCAGGACAGCAGAAAGCCTACACATACCTTCCGGCGCAGACTGAAAACTCATCTCTTTCGACTCCACTTCGAACGATAGAATTACTAACAAAGAATTACTAACAAAGCACTTATATACTAATAAAGGACTGGCTTATCTATAGCCAGTTGAGTAGCACTTGAAATGTTTGGCTCTATGAAACCTGATGTACTTATATGATTCTGTTTTCTTCAAGGTTGTGTCTTCCTGGTCGAATGTACTTATTGTAAGTCGCTTTGGATAAAAGCGTCAGCTAAATGCAATGTAATGTAATATATGTATGTACAGAGGTTGGAGAAGTACCAGAGTGTGAATACTCTGTTACAAGTAAAAGTCCTGCATTCAAAATATAACAAAAGTATTAGGATCAATACAAAAGTATTAGGATCAAAATATACTTAAAATATATATTATATGTTTTGATTATTATTATAGATGCATTAAAGTGTTTATCAAAGCTGGTAAAGGTGCAGCTAGTTTTAATTACTTTGTATGCTGCAGGGTAGCTGGTGAATTTACTCCAGGTGGAACTAAAGTCTGATTTAAGAGTTGATTATATTTCACATCATTAATCAAAATCTGTAAAGTAACTAAAGGTACTAATAAATATAGTGGAGTAAAAGTACACTATTTACCTCTGAATTGTAGTGGAATAGAAGTAAAAAAGTTGCATGAAATGGAAATACTCAAGTAAAGTACTAGCACCTCAAAATTGTATAGGTACAGTACTTGAGTAAATGTACTTTATTACTTCACACCTCTGTGTATGTATACATTATTTAATTAATGTATAAATAATTGCTCTGAAGAATGCTTATTGTGAATCACGGAAATAATAAAATGCTTATCATTTTTTTTTTTTACCCATCTTAGGGCCCTTGGTGGCTTTGTGGCCCAAAGCAGTTTTTTTTTAATGTCTTAAGCCAGCTATGCAGTTGCCCAAACA